AGTTTCCTCAATAGTCATAGTTCAAAGTTTGGGTAATTTTAATATTTGCACCACATACTAACCAACAGTGAGGTTAACATAACAACTTTTCTCCACATTATCAGTGATAAAGGAGCATTTGTATCTCCCGGTGTCAGTGAGTTTTAGTGAGGTCAGCATCAGTGACAGATTTCCTTTGGTTAACGCCTCCTGGGAGAGAGCAGTCCGTGCTTCAAAATGCTCTCTCTGTGCTCCAGGATTATATTTTCCATTTTGACAAAGGATTACAACGTCATTCCCACAAGTCCACTTTACTGTCTCAGATGCTGCGTTCAGTGGGGGCTTAAGGTAGCACTGCAGGAGGACATGTTCACTGTATACTGCTTGTACTGGCTCAGAAGAGCAAATAATCTGAGGTTCTGTTAAAAAAGTAAAAAAAACAAATGTTACATTAGGATTGAACACATTTTTGGCCAACAATCTACATCAAACTTAAGAACAAGATGGGTGAGGAGTCAAATTTACTGTGTGCAGGCAGGAATGGTGGACCCAAATGTGCAGACTCACGGCAGGCAAAAGTGCATCAAAACAGTTTTATTGCTGACACAACAAAAATACTAAAGTGAAAATACAAAATACCTAAACAGGCTGGCAGACAAACAGAACACACAGCACAGAATGAGGAAGACCATGACACAGAGCTAACGAGACAAGGGACGCAAAACCAGACACAGACTATCAACACAAAACCGGAAACATAACACTGAGATACGGATTTGACAAAGGGATACACTTACACTATACATTGTCAATAAAATCATTAACATTTTTCAGAAACTGGCAAATTTTTTTAGATGTTTGCTTCTCTGGTAATTGCTATGACTGCTCCCCCCCCCCCCCCCCCCCCCCCTCTCTTGCTATATGTATGTGTGATTAAATTTAATGTTTATGTATGAACTCTGAATCAGAAAAAAAAAAGCATGCTAAGTGTTATGAATAAACACTAAGAAACAACGAAATTTTAATTGCGTTACTTAAATTGGGAAGGCTGTAGCTCAAAAGGTAAGGCGGGTCATGTACTGATTAGAAGGTTAGAGCTTCGATTCTTTCCTGCACCTGTATGCCAAATATTCCTGGGCAAGATTCTAACACAAAGTCGCTAGACAGAAAGAACTTAAGCACGGAGAAAGTGTGTGTTTGGGTTTGGATGAGGCATGTATTTATAAAATGTACGTGTATGAAGTGCTTTGGTGGGGTTTTTTATAAAAAGATGAAAAAATATTTACTCACGTGTAGCTTCCAAGACAAACTGGTGACTGCAGACTGACAGCAAAACAAAAACCGTTAGATCCATTCAAAAGAACAAGAATAACATGTCTTCTTATCAAAAACCAAAAGACTAAACTGTGGCTCATGATTTGTGAACAGAAAGAGAAAGAAAAGAAAAGAAAAAGGAGATGCTGCGATTAACTTTTGGTTTCAAGTCCCCGCCTATTGGCACAGTTTAACTCCACTGTAGAAAATATAATCTAATGAGAGGGAAGTATCACGGCTGGATTTCTAATCTGGCATTTGCAAAGTGCACTAACACACTCGTGGCTCAATATATATATTTTCCTTATCCGTAAATTATAAAGGTTACGGACCAACTGACACCAAGGTGTGCCAAAAAAAGTGATGCAAAAACTTTCATTAACATAAAAAAATAGTTTTTCAAGTGAAGGCAGCATAATTTCTAATATATATAACATCACTCTGCCCTTAACTCATCATACTCACCGTCATGCTATTTTTTTTTTAATGTCCCACGTATTCCTCTGAATTTCCTAGTTTCTGGAGTTGTGGCATATTGCATTTGAGAGCATATCAATGCTGAATATCTAAGTCTTGAGTCCTGTGTTTAGGTCCATTTCCTGCCAGCACCACCTTGCTAAAATGCCAGGGCTAACTTTTAATTTTCAATTTATCAATATATTATTTATTTCAATATATTTTTGTCCAGAACAGACCTACTCTAAATCATCTGACCCTTTTTGAACTGTATTCTGTATCAAAAACACTCAATTGAGTGTCCAGGTGATTATCCACAACAAAGTACTTTAAACATTTTAATTAATTGTTTTCATTTCAGTTATTCATTCATAATCATTTTGATTCAGAGCCTAAGAATTATGAGCTGCACTGTCCTCAACCTTTGCCCCTCCTGGATTCATGCTTTCTCCTGTATTGTTTCAGTCTTTTTTGGACATGAATGATCCCCTCCTCATTTCCCTGTACACAAAGTGGAAAGTTTCTACCATTAAAGTCAGTAATATATACATTAGAATAGTACTACCTGTATTCCTTGCAAGTTCACCTTTCCACCTGTCTCCCTCTCATTAACACACATAATATGTATTCTGTATTGCTTCTACTGACTTTTATTCCTCTTCTCTCCAGAGCATACCCCCACCTGTCCAGGCTCTCTTGCACCTATTCTCTACTCTCATTATTTGATTCAGTTTAATTCAACTTAATTTACCTAGTGTCAAATCCCAATAACAGTTGTTCAAAGCACTTTATATAGTAAGGTAAAGACCCTACAATAATACAGAAAAAAACCCAAGCAGGAAGCAGTTTGTGGCAGTGGGGGAAAAAAATCTCCTTCTAGGAGTAAGAAACCTCCTGGAGAACGAGACTGCAGGAGGGCAGCCAACTGCTATAACTGGTTGGGATAAGGGGAAGGAGAAGAAGGAAGATTACAGATTATTTCTCCATAAACCATGGAGACTTCTGCCTGACCTTACCTCTCAGCCTGTCCATCACCACAACAACAATGATGATCCCGGACGTAACCCCACCCTTACCTTGAACACATTTGTCACTCCTACCTAACCTTAACACTGTCTCACTGTCCTCATGCATGGCCTACACCACCCTCAAATATACCAAAAAAAATCCATGTTGGATTTATTTAATTCAATAGTGGACATTGGTTGCACACAAATGTTTTGCTTTGGCAGAAACTTAAACAACTGACTTAAATTTACACAAGTTATTCATATTCAATAAACCTGTGCATTTTGTGTTCATAAAACCCGATTGAAACATGTTTAGATGAAGTAAGTTGAGCTCTTGGAATATTTTGATCCTTCAAAATTTTGTCATTTTATTTCAAGACTATTCAATAACTTTTACCCCAGTACTGCTTGGTCACTTATATACTACATGTTGTCTTTATATTATATAATGTTCGACAAAGTCTGGCCATCGGGCATACTGGCATTTGCTCGGTGGCCCGATGATTTCTTTTTTTTAATAAACCATGAAAGGTGGTGGATTGGCCAGATGCTGGTCGGTGTGTAAAAATAACTCAATTATTTGGTGGTGGCTATGGCACTGCTTCCTCAGAGTCAGTAACATTAGCAAGTGGTGGAGGCCAGCAGGTGGATGAGGCAGGAGGAGAGACCTGAAATGAACTTCAGGCAAGAAGTTATGAACTGCTGTCTATCTGGGTCAGATATAAACCAAGTTTAGGTATAGTTTTTTTTTGTTGTGCTAACTTTTTACTGTCAGTTACAATAACTCGTACTGCGTACTAGCTACCATGACAGAGTTTCTATACAGCTGGGTGGGTGCTATGATGTTACTGATAGTGAACTTTATTTTATTCATAAGGTTAGTTAGTAGAGTTGCCAACCGTCCCGTACAAATGGAATCATCCCGCATTCAGAGAAAAATATTGCGCGTTTCGTATTGAGCTGAGAAGGAACACAGTTTGTCCTGGACTTTACTCGACTATGATATGAACAATTTAATCTACCCGCTCTGCATATTATGTAGTTTCTACACTACACTGTAAAAAAATATTCCGTAGAAAAACAGAAAATGTCCTGGTAATTTTCTGCCAGTACATTTTCTGTTTTTTTACGGAGGTTTGACGGACCTTTCTGTAAATGATAAAACGGAAAATTCTGTAGATTTACAGTATACTCTCTGTACTATTTACGGACATTTCCTTCAGCTATAAAACAGAAAATTCCGTTTATTCACAGTATATTTTCTGTATCATTAACTGATATTTTCCGTTAATAGAAAAATTGAAATTTCTGTTTATATTACTATTTCCAAGCACTTCTTTTCACTGTAACTCATTAAATATAGTTCTTTATATCCTTAAACGTACATTTCTATGCAATTACAACCTAGTACACCATGTACTCAAAAATTCATAAATTAAAACTTAATTTGTGCTTCGTACACAACAACATTGGTACAATTAATGTTAAATATTCTTTTATTCTCCTTAACTCAAACACTATACTAAAATATAATGACAGCATCCATCTTGTCATAAAACTACTAAACAGCTGATACATGAACAAAATAACTCACAAGCTTTCAAATTTGAGCATTTTTATTTCCTTAAAATCAGGTTGCCCTCATGTAAATGTGTTTATTTACATTCATTCAAGTGGCTACCAAGTGTTTTCTTCAAACAGGACACCTGACAAACAAAAAATGTCATATTTAACGACATGTTCACATTTAATAATATCCAGAGTACCTTTTAGTTAGAATCACTGCCTTGTGGTAGTTTTGCCTCAGCCAAATGGTTAAGGTGTGGTTTACATCCATCTCTGTCCACTTATGATACAGTATACACATGTAGTCAGTTATAGCCAAACACCTTTGATTACTGAATTGCATTCACTTCATTAATGAAGTGAATGTAATTCACATTTGCGTGAACATTTGTCTGAGATTAACTCTTTGGGCTCTTTACCTTACAATATAACATACTTGAGTCAAAATTTGTTGACTGTTTAAGTGGTGCCACATGAATACAACTGAACAGATCTAAAGAAGATGTTCCTGAACTTTGGGTTTATTCGAACAGGACTGATGGATAACCACAGGACTTTTCCCCATATGATAACTACAACACATAATAAATTAAGACAGATTACTGTCCCAAACTTAAAGATAAAAGTGTATTTACGGGACTTGTTTTGTCAGTGAGGAGCAAAGTATAATTAGAAGTGCTTGTTCTGATGAAAAGTTAAACTGTAAACAGCAGCATAGTGAATAAGGATCTGTGTCCACGAATCCTCAGCAGTGACAACACTTAAACATCATAGTTCAAAATCCTTAATGCACACCTTTTTCTCCACGGTGTTCAAATTCTCTAAGCTGGTTAAGTAGAGGAAAAAGTCTGACATATTTCATGACCATTAAATGTTAGACAAGGCTCTGAAAACGAGGTTACAGTTACAAACAAAAACCTCTGCTTGTGCGCACAGACCCTAAATCACAACAAATAAGACAATAGTAAGACAAATTACTACAAAGTCTTGTTACCGCTCTTCATATAACAGTGTGACAAAGTCCTGAATGCAGCCTGCATGTTAGTACATCAAGGTCCATCTGAGCTTTAAGTAAAATACACTCAGCTTTTCCTTGGATTTTAAGAGTTGCTCAGTTCATACAGGAACTGCAGCAGTCGGAGTTAACGTGTCGCTGTGTTGCTCCTCCGTGTCAGCCATTGAGACTAGTCGCAATTTATTCTGAGGAAAAAAAGAGAAACAACAAGACATTTTTAAAAAGTTTGTATTTTTATAATTTTTTTTTACCTAGAGCATAAACAACATAAACAAAAAAAGGATTAGGGCTGTGCGATATGACGATATATATCAGATTACGATATAAAAATGTCTATCGTTTCATATTATACACTATTCTTTGTTTTGTGGTGTTGCAAAATAAACTGTTTACGGCAATATTTTTTTCATGGTTTTGATGGTCACTGTAGTTGCTATATTATTTCTTAAAGTTCTCTCCTTCTCTTATACTTAAAATAACCACACTATGGACGGACAAGTGACTGTTTTTAACGCGTACTTTCGTTACCAACAATGAGGATAAAACCATCGTGTGGCTCCGCCGTCCGCTTGTTTATTTTCCACATAAACCTTTCACAATAAAGCTCAAGTTTCTGTTGAGACTTTTCAAACTAAACTGAAATGATATACATTATTCTCAAACATAAAATTTCAGAATATGCATCAAACAAATGACCTCAAATAAAAACATCAAGTAACTATAAATGGCGCTTACAGTCACCACGCAGATGAAGGCACAGAGAATACCAGCATGGCCAGCAAGGATGAGGCAGAACCAGAAGGACCAGTCAAAAGAAATCGAGGACCTTATTGTTAAATGAGGGGCTACCTCTGTAGCATGGACATGGTTTGGTTATGAAAAGTCTGACACGCCCCAGAAAACTGTACTATGCAAATTATGCCACAAACTGGTCCCCACCACCACTCAAACACGACAAACCTCTTTAACCACCTACACAAGAATCACATGAAAGAGTTTCGAGAGAGTTTACGAATGAAAAGCAAAAAAGAGTCGTCAGGTGCTCAAAATAATCCTTAGACTCAAACGTTAGAACAGGCTTTTCCTTGCAGCACGCCGTCTAATAAATACTCAGAAAGAAAATGGCGGCCATTTAAACTCATGTCTAAAAATGTATAGCTTCATGCATCGGTCAAAACACTCGACTCCTGGTACACGACGCCCAACTGAAAACATTTCACATAAGTCGAGTTGCCCGAGAATCACAGAATTTACAGAAAATGCACTATTTTGTGATATATATCGTTATCAGGAGAGATACGTCTTATATTGGGATATGAGATTTTGGTCATATCACGCAGCCCTACAAAGGATTATAATTCACGTAGAGTTGCATACACATAACACCATTCTGTTGCAACAAAAGCAGTTTATAATTAAAGTAACATACATACCTTGAAAAACTAAATCAACCACAACATTAAACTCACCTTGTGTTTGTAGAGAAGGTGATCAGGGTTTTTCTTCATTTCCTGAGACCAGCTGCTCTGGATCATCACCAGCTTGTATCTTCATCTTTTTTTTCCACTCGGGGAAGTCTTTCCTTTTCTTGGCCATTGCTCTGCACTGGAAAACCAAAGTGTGTGATCAAAGGTGAAATAAGGGATATTTTTCCACTGCAGGACTTAAAGTGCTTCAAGTAGTGATAGCTGTTGATCCATTTCTCAAATAATCTGTAAGGATCTGGATTTTTAAGAAAGATATAAATATCTCTGCTTATATTTGGCTAAAAGCTTGATGTAGACAAGGCATATAAAGCCCCTGCACACCAGCACTGCGCTTACATTATAGTTCAATCAAGAAATAGTTATTATTGATTTATTATTGAATTTTTTTAGTAATAATTTTTAGTATTTAATCACATTAGCACAGTGGGGTGACAAAAATATTCCACATACAAGAAATGCTGCTCAGCATTTCATAAATTACATTTTCAACAAATGTTGGAGTAAAAACACAGTTACAGGGAAAATGTGTCTGTCTGTAAATATTAACTAAACATTTCTATGTGCTACAAAATAGACATACTGTAATTGTAAATGTGCTGAGGTGAAACTATACTTTCAATAATTTTACCACTACAGTCTGTTAACCACCGAAATAATCTATGCTGGTCAGCTAGCTAAAAGTCTTTACTTTAGCAGCCCAAATCAGAGGCTAACATTAGCATTTGCTAGCGTCAGCCAGGAAGGTCTGAGGCTTAAACTAGGGTTAGTGTAACTTTGCCTGAAACCCTTTAAAGTGTACAGTAGAGCCAACTGTAAAACACAGGTATTGATACAGTACTTATTAGAGTCCTAGAATAATTTCTAGAACCATGAAGTTCTCACTTTCCCAGTTATCCACATCGCTGACTTTCGCTAATTAGCTAGTTAGCAGTCACAGCTGTGTAATACCCAGAGAGACACAGACAGCTAACTATAATATTTATGAAAACTGGTTCAGCCACTGAAGGGCAAAACTGGTGGTATCACAGTAAAAATTATTTTAACATTAATTAAAATAAAGCTTAAGTCATGTTAAACCTAAATAACAATTATTTTAAAAAATGAGTCAGCAAAATATTCCTGACTTGTCTGGAGACAGCCGAAACCAGTTAACAAATAAATTAACAATTCTTTCTAAATAAAAACACGGAGTCTTTTGAAAAAACATTATTTTAATAAAACGAAACATGAGTTTTAATACTTACCACAGAAATTTGAAGGCAGTTTCTCCAACTTCAGAATCCAAAATCCAGATGAAGCCTGAAAGAAGCCTAATGGCTGCTCTTGCGCTTACTTTTCCCTCCTTTTCAGGTTCTTTTTCCCACAATGCATTGCAGTAGTTGAGAAATACAGAAAAATACCTGTAAATGACTAATACGGAAAATTCCTTCACGTTTATACAGTAGATTGTACTGTATTTTTACGGATTTTTTTTACAGTGTATATAGTTACACTTAACTTTAAAGCATGAGGCACTTGTGTTAAATACATGGAAGATGCTTACATAAAACCAAGAGATGGCCAATCCCTTTTTTTCAGTGTACTTCCTTGTCATTCCTGACTTCCTCATGCAGTATCACAGTTCCTCTCTTGGCACCCTGTCACGTGCTTTCTCTTGAGTTTTTTGTTTATAATTTTGTAATTTTAAAAAATAATAATAATTAGGAGATGGATCCAAAACTTTGTTCCTTTTTTATATTGCTTTGGTCAGTATTTGTCAGCATCAATTGTGTTTTACTAGCACAATGTGTGTGGTCTTACAGTTCCTTAGGTGGCGATATGTGATCACATGTTAAGTTCTTGCTAAACATAATGCCAAATACATTCAGTAACATTCACATCTATTCTCAATAGAAGTTTGGTTTCTTCAATATATACGTTTTAATTTATAAATATGGACAGTGATACACTATGCAAAGTCTGTACGGAAGCACAACCTTTCTGGAATATTCATTTATTTTTGTATTTATGCCATCATTTCCCATAAACTCCCCAGTGGTTACCATGGAGTCTTGCATGCAAGGGAAGAGTGTGGGTTTGCTCTGGGTTTGTGGGTGGCATTTTAACATTAGTCTGTAGCTGTTTCATATCCTGTTTCTCAGAAGCCAGGTTTTTTTTCTCTTCTTTTTTGTTCAAGACTGGATTGTCTGATCAAGCCATTGCTTAATTTCTTTAAGCACAAAAATTGATTTGGATGCATTCACTAAGAACTGATTAGGTCAACAAACTATAACACATTCTTGATGTTACATTTAGTAAACACATAAATGATGAATGAATTTAGGCACCTTTAAAAGGTTTCAAATGAACCATTTAGAACTCAATCTAGCTTAAAATCTAAATTCAAATTTTGCAAATAAATGTTTTTTTTTCTTGTTTGTTTTGTTTAAAGTTACTGAGTAGAGGCTTACATAGTTTCCTGTGTTAGGACAGGATGTGGTAGACTACATGTTGAACTGTAGATGCAAATGACACATGTGCAGGATGGAGGCCACATCACTTGTCTTCATGCTCTGTGAGTAATTTAATGCTTTAAAAAATATTTTCCCTCTTTTGTCTCAGATTTCAGGTTTCTTTTAATAATAATTTTGTTTGTAGCTTTCAGTGATTAACTTGGTCCTACAATGTTTTAATGAAATAAAATAATAAAAAATTAAAATTTGGTCACAACTAGGTTTAGGTTGGAGTGAATATTGACATGCAATTTTCAGGGGTCACTTCTGAGTCCCTTTTGTGTGAAAATGTGATGGTGAAGGACAGAATACAAGATGAGGTCAGGGTGGAGTCTCTGTGAACTATGATGTTTGCAGTTGATATTGTCGTGTGTAGTGAGAGAAAGGAAGAAGTGTAAAGGGAACTTGGAGATGTGGATGGATGCTCTGGAGAGACGAGGAATGAAAGTAAGTAAAAACAAAACAGAAAACGTGAATGGGAGGGAGAAAGGTGTACCAGTGAAGCTGCAAGTAGAGGTAGTTTCGATTAGTTTAAATATCTGTGGTCAACTATCCAAAGAAACAGACGTGCACAGGTGAGGTGAAGAAGAGAGTGCAGGCAGGTTGGAGATGAGTGTCAGAGTTGATTTGTGACAGAAGGATAGAAGCAAGAGTGAAAAGGAAGGTTCACAAGATGGAAGTGAGATCTGCTGTGGTTTGTGTTTGGGGGGATGGTAGTGCTGACAAAAAGACAGGAGGCAGAGCTGCAGATATTTGATGGTGAAGATTGGGAGTGACAGGAATGGTCACAGTTAGAAACAAATACATCAGGCAGAGGGTTTTTCTCCACAATAGAGCAACATCTCAACAAAATTTGCAAACACATTATTTAGGCACCTACATGTACAGTCTGATTCCCTGAGTGCTGTGATTCTCTCTTTCAATCTTTCACTGAGATCAAGGAAAAGTGAAAATGTAGTTGCAGTTATGTTCTGTACATACTCATAACAACTGCTCAGCCTTTCCTATATTGGAGTATATTGTAGGCCAAAGTGCATTTGGGGAGGAGAAGAAAAAATCTGGTTTAGTAAATGCAGATGGCTGTAATAGATAAATTAATTTAACCAGTATATCTTGTCTATCAACACAGCAACTAGACATTTATTTCTAATATGCCCTCTACCTAGTTCTTTCTTTAGTCAGACATTGATTTCACACCACTTAAGAGATAGTGGTTGTTTGACTGGGAATAAGTCAAAGTTTATGACAAATTGACTTCTCAATTGAGCTGTGATCTCAAAGGAACCCTTATGGATGATTTTACGGTCAAAGTTTCTGCCACCAGAAGAAGTAAACGAAAGCAAACGCCTGGAGCTGTAGATGTTATATCTCTCTCCTGGCCTGCAAATACTTTTATGTTTCCCCAGATAAGCTGCGAGAAAAGAATGTCAGATAAAAATCTGTCCAGCATGTCTTGGATGTGTCTGGACCTTTCTTGCTATGCCTCTCTCGCTACAGTTGTACAGTAATGAGAGAAGCATAGCAAGAAAATATCCCCCACAGGATACTCCAAGGGACAAAATTGAATGTGCAACTGGGTATGCAAACACACATGCACCCTCGAATATCCTGGAGAGGATAAAGAGTTCTGCAGACAGGGCAAAAGTCATATTGCTCCTGCTGAATCCCAGGTTTGACTAAAGGACAGACTCTCCTCTTCCACACCCTGGCATTAGCTAATGAGTTAGATGTCCCTACAGTTGAGCAAACCCTCGGTCTTTCTTCTTAAATAAGTAAACCATTACCCCAGTCTGCCAGTACAGAGCCACCACCCCAGATCTCCATGCAATGTTGCAGACAGACAGGACAGCCCTATAACATTGAAAGCCTTTAGGAACTCAGGACAAATTTCATCCACCCCAATGACCAAGCCACTAAAGAGTTGTTTGACAGCCTTAGTGACCTTACCCCCAGTGGTCCTCCCATCCCCAATATAACTTTTTTTCCTTTTCTGGTGAAAAGGAACGCTTTGTTAAATTTTGATGTAATCATTAAAATATATTCTTTCAATTCCTGTATCTCTCCCTCTCTGCAGCCACACTCAGCATCACCCCCAACAGACTGCAGTTCTTCCAGTATGACAAAATTGAACTGAAGTGTGTGGCAAACTCTACTGGCTGGACAGTGAAGAGAAACACTGGCTCAAAGATTGAGGAGTGCACGTTTGGCTGGGGAACACCGAGCGAGTCGTCCTGCATCATCGAGGATGCCTACCCGAAAGATACTGGAGTGTACTGGTGTGAATCTAAAAAGGAGTCCAGCAAAACCATAACAATCACAGTGATTGGTAATGTCATGACTGTATGTTTTATAATTGATAGGTTAATAATTATTTCTGATATATTTTATTAAACTCAACTAGACATGAAAAAGTAATCAATATTTGCACTGCTGTTTATTGTTTTATTTTCCAGCTCATGGTGTGATCTTGGAAAGCCCCATAGATCCAGTGATGGAGGGCAACCAAGTGACAATTCGCTGCTCCTACATGGGAGAAGATGAGGACATTTCAAAGTCAGATTTTTCAGCTGCATTCTACAAAGATGGTGTTTTCATAGGGACAGGTGATGCAGGGACGATGACCTTTTCAGCTCTGTCAAAATCTGACGAAGGCTTCTATAAGTGTAAACACCCATCAAAAGGAGAGTCAAGGCAGAGCCTCCTCGCAGTAAGAGGTGACATGATGTGTTTGTTCCTTTGTAGAGTAGTTCTGTTTATGCTTTATCTTTTTCACTCAAGTAGTCCCCAGTTTGTTCTACCTTGATAGCTTTTGAGAACGAGCTGTTATGAAGCAAAAGTTCCCATAGCAAAATTGCTATGGCCCAGACCTGGCCCACACAATGTGCTTACACATGGCCCACATACCCCAAAGAATGATGGCCCTTTGGTGGCCCAGATCTGGTTTGCCAAAAGTGTTGTAAATACATGGAAACTGTTCCAGATTAGGAACCGGCACTGGCACGATGTTGGTAGGACAGGCGTTAAAACTAGGAAGCTAAGAAAAACGCATCTATTTCTTTGTCAAATGTATTTATTTTGATGAAACTCTTAAAGTGGATTTATAGCCTGACACACAAATGAAAAAAGAAAAAAAAATCCTACCAATTGTGTAGAAGACACATGAAAGTTAGGAGTCACTTTTAGGAATGACTTTAATATTTATACATTTTTCTACATTTGTATTTTTTGGGAGCCAAGTTCACACAATGGAGCTCCTCAGTTTCTGTCTCTGTATATCAATAAAAGTATTTTTTCATACATGGGCAAGAAAAACTGTGAAAGCCAAAAGTTATACTAAACCTAAATGAATAAATTATTTTTTTAAATACCATAAATTGAATTTTATTTTCTAAATTATCATCTGGATCACCAGTACTTGTGTAAAACCAAACGATTGAATGTCCAGTTTGTTTCTCACACAGTGGAATTCAAGAAAGTAAATCCTACCACCCTGCCTCCTCCTCCTCCTATCATACCCTGGGCCAGAGTGATTTCTAGTGTCCTTCTCTTCATCCTCTACAACTGTGTTCTTGTACTGTGTATCTACATCTACCGGAAGTGGGCTCAAGGTAAGAACACCCAGACACCTGAAACCTAAAAGAATACAGTATCTTCTTCTTCTTTTTCCTCTGGCTGTTCCCTGTTGTTCCCTGTTTTCTTTTTTGTTTTTTAATGTACAGCCTATGTATCATTGAAAAAGAAGTGAGACCCTTCTTGATTTTATGAATTTTTAAGTTATTTTCTAAATGCACCGATATTGTTTGCTTATGCGTATGCCTCGTCTTTATTGTATTTGGAATCAGATCCCAATTTAAATTTCAGAAAAGAAAATAGTTTTTAATGTCACTCGTGGCTCCTCTTAAAGAGATCTTTCCTTGACTTTTCCTGCAGGCAAAACTAAAAGGAACGCTTGTGAGTTGCAGCCATGATGAGCCCT